CTTTGTACTTGTTGAATGCTTGATTTCGAACTCCAAATGCAGTACATTCGTTTGTGGTTATCTAGTACTTCTTGATCCAATTATGTTATTTCTAGAATTCTCAGTTCATACTATAATTCAAATACTCCTAATCATCATATTTAGCTTCGCGATGGAGCCTGTGATGGAACAGTTGGATATACATTCAGATTCTGATGCTTTTAAGGATTACTTTGAAAGGTTCAAAATTTGGGCTATGACCAAGGAAGATGATGAGGATGTTCATATTGTAGCACATCTCCTCACATTAATCGAAAAAGAAGCATATAGCTTATTAAAAACTCAGGTTTTACCGGAGAAGCCCATTTCGCTTCCTTATACAACTCTCAAGGATCTACTGCTAGACTATGTTAAGTACACAAACTTCGAATGTGGTAAAAGAGGAAGATTTCGTAAAATGATTCATGAAGATATAAATAGTCCCACTATATTACGTCATTCCAGCCCAGTCCATACTCAAAGTTATTCAGATAATTTGTGGTGGTCGGTATCCGATATAATCCTTAACTTCGTATACAGTTCGTCTTGATAACCGTTCTATATAACGCCCCAACGGTTTATTAATCAGAAGGCAAATACGAAGTGTTGATTACGTTTATTACGAGACTACACACATATATCCAAATGTACAGATGCGTTAAACAAGCATAGAAGATTTGTGCCGAAATGCAAGCAAGCGAGCGAGAGCCAGAGCAAGAGTGAGTGTGTGTGTTGAATATGAATAACATGGACATGTATATACCATGTGAAATGAATGAGTAATCGAATCAAATAAGCAGTTAGTAGTAAGACTAGCAGAGTGAATAAATGCGTAGGCTGTAAGCAATATTCAAGCATACGTATTTCATACAAGCACAAAATAATAAGGGTATAATAAGTTGTTATAGTGCGGATGACTTTGTCGGCTAAATGAGTTAGCAAAAGGGCCTAACTGCGTTAGATGAGACTAAACTCATTTGCACGTGAGTCACTATAAATTCATTGAGGAGTTGCAATGCATTTCACGAAGATGGACACAAGTTTGGTCAATGTTTGTCCTGTGGCAGGTTTCACTCTTTTAATTCATGTAAATTTCATAATTCTAAGTGTTTTAAATGTGGTGATATTGTATATATTCGGTGAGTTTGTAATACTACTGTTCATCTTGCTGCAACCAATATTAGGTCTTGTAATTCTGATTCTATTAAGTTGAGCATTTATAATGATCATTTATCCTTATCAACAATTTCAAAAGACAATGTATAGTCATATAGCAGTTCAGAGTTAAATAAAACTCAGTATCCATGTGAGACGACAGTTTCTAATCAATCAACTTATCAGATTTCTCATGCTATTGTACCAGGTATGGTTTTTCCTAATGATTCACATATTTCTGATGAAATTCTTTACAAATCTAAGGAAAATATGTTGGATGAACCTAGTCATCATCGAAAACCTGTTCAGTTTTGATAGATGCTGATTTTTCTAATGATCCTTTACTCTGCAATGGCATTCTTAATGAATTCGAGGAATTTATTTCAGAAGAGTCAAATCTTGATGTCAAACCAAATATTACTTGTCTCCATGATGCATTTATTTCATGTGGGAAACTTGTTTAGTGCGAAGCACAAGTACTAAATGAGCTCGAGTTTGATTACAATTTGGATGATTTCATATCAACTACTGTTTATCCTTACCACGAAGTCACTTCTAATGTTTACTCTAGTCAATGTGAGAAATATGTTTTAAATGAAGCCACATCATTCATAAATTGGGGATATAAAGATCCAACATTATTTCATGCGGGAGGATAGTGTTGGGAAATCTGTGCTTTAAATTCTAGGTAGTGGTTTCGGAACACAACCGACACGGTGATTGTACACGATTCCAAGAACCAAGTGTCTGTTCCGATTTCGGTTGTTAATTCCAATACTAATGAGCACATTCTAGATAATAGAATTTTTTATCCAATACAATGGCGGACAGACACAGGATGAACTTAAGAAGACATGCAATCGAATACAGACACCTAGACTCTAATTTAAGCTGTGGCGGATGTGGTGTTTGAATGAACTAATGATTCCTTTGTACTTGTTGAATGCTTGATTTTGAATTCTAAATACAATACATTCGTTCGTGCTTATCTAGTACTCCTTGATCCAATCGCGTTATTTCTGGTATTCTTAGCTCGCACTATAATTCAAATACTCCTAGTCATAATATCACCTTTCGTCTCCAAGCGAGGATAGGAATCACTATCAAACGAACGCAAGTTTGATTGACCCTAAGATTGTATTTCATGACTACTGAGCAAAGTATTAAAATTGATTTAAAAGAGTTATGAAGTCTCAAAGTGAAAGCCAAGATCCTCCAGAAGTCACAAGGCAAATTCCTATCTCAACAACAAGTGCAACCAATATTATTGGTACATAAAATCTCTGAACTATGTAGGGGAGCAGTGAAACAGCTGCGGAAATGCGGAGATACAAAATGTCAGTTCTCAGGATAAATTGAACCCGTTGGACCAAAACTAGACAAAACAATCAGCCTCGAGATAGATGTTGTTGTGCTCCGATCAGGAAGAAAGTGCTTTGCGCACTCAAGCAGTTGAACTGATTTTTTTCAGGAAGGCACGAGAGTTTCAACTGCAGAACACACAGCAAGATGCAAATGGATAACCAAAAGTTACGTGTTATATAAACACTATGTAACTTAACACATCTACATCTCTCTTCTCCATTTCTTTGTTCAACAATAACAGATCTAAATAACAAAGTCGGTATAGACAACACTAGTATGAATATGTCATAGGACGACATGGATTGACTGGGAGAAGGGGACGAGAATGGTGAGATATGTTAATTAATCGGAATTCAATAAAATAGTAATAGGTGGCACATTATTCCCCCACGTACGCATACACAAAGCTACATGGATCTCACCCGATCACAAAGAATCAGATCGATCATAGAAGCAGCATTCCATGAAGCGCTAGACTGAAATAAGTACCACCATAAAAAATGAATGTCTACTTGTATCCTGCGCTAAATTCAAGAAAAAAACAAGAAGACAGCAATTAACAAGACAAACAAGGAAAGAGAAAGTCGAGGCACAAGCTGGATACACTGAAGCAAACAACCAAGTGAAGAGCATTACAGACGACAAGCAAAAATACGTGGGAGACCTGGCAACGACAGCGGAAAAATCTGCAAGACAAGGAAATCTGAAACAACCAAATGACACAACGAAGGAACTAACAGAAAATTATGGTAAACCAGAGAGACCGGTGAAGGACAAAGAAGGCAAGACAATCAATGACATTAAAGAACTGAACAGATTGGTAGAATACTTTGAGGAACTCTTGAATAGGTCCGTTCCAGTGGATCTACTAAACATCAAAGCAACACATACAGACATTTCCATGGATGTCAGTCCACTAATGATCGAAGAAATCTGAACGGCCATCAGAGAAATCGAGTGTGAAAAAGCAGCTGAATCTGACAATATACCAGATGAAGCCTTGAAGGCAGATATGGAAGCACCTGCAAATATACTGCACGTTCTATTCAGGAAGATTTGTGAGGGAAAACAGGTGCCGATAGACTAGAAAGAAGAACGGCTCATCAAAATATCAAAGAAAGGTGAAATGAGCAAATGTAAGAACTATAGAGGCATCACATTACAATCAGTACCAGGAAAGGTTTTCAACAGAGTGTTGTCTAATCTAATTAAAGATTCAGTGAATCAACAAACCGGATTCCGTAAGGATCGTTCGTGCACAGACCAAATCGCAACACTTCAGATCATCGTTGGACAGTTAGTTTAGTGGAACCCGTCATTATTCATCAAGTTTATTGACTACGAGAAAGCATTCAATGGCGTCAACAAGAAAATCCTATGGAACCTTCTTCGACACTGCAATACACCTTTGGAGATCGCTAAAATCATCCGGAATTCATACGACAGACTGCACTGCAAGGTCATGGACGACAGCTCACATATGCATTCCAAGCGAAGACCGGTGTCGGACAAGGTTGCTTACTCTGACCTTTTCTCCTTCTTAAGATATATTTTATTATTTCTACCTCTGTATCTCAGGGAAAGCATGGAATAGAATGAACACCTTGGATGCAACTAGACTATTTAAATTTCTCAGATGACCAAAATTTTCTATCCCATACACACCAACAAACGCGGATCAAGATAGCCAGTGTAGCAGCAGACCTCAACATACACAACGGAAGAAGCAAGATCCTCAAGTACAACACAGGAAACACCAACTCAATGACACTCGATGGAGAAACTCTGATATACCTGAACAGCATCATCGATGAAAAGGGGGATATGATGCAGACGTAAAGGAGAGGATCGACAAAGCTAGGGCAACATTCCTACAATTGAAAAACATATGGAAGTCAAAACAACTGTCAACCAATATCAACGACAGCATCTTCAATGCGAACGTCAAGACAGTTCTACTGTACGGAGCTAAAACTTCGAGAACTACTACAACCATCATCAAAAAGTACAGGTATTTATAAACAACTGTCTACGAAAGATACTCAATGTCTGTCGGCCGAATAACATCAGCAATAGCTTACTGTGGAAGAGAACAAATCAGCTTGCAGTCAAAGAGGAAATTAGGAAAAGACGCTGGAAGCGGATAGGAAATACATTCCGGAAATCATCAAACTGCACCACGAAACAAGCTCTGATTTAGAATTATGAATGGTAAAGAAACAGAGGCAGACTAAAGAACATATTGCAAAGGGATTGGAGTTGGATATTAAAAGAAAGAGTTGGTTGGAGAATCCTGGTTGGCGGCGTACGCTCCTCCAGTCGTTAGCAAATATGTAGCGAAGAATAAACCTCAAAATGATATGGTAAGGCCATCCTTAAATAGTTTACTAGTGAACAATACATTATGCGCTAAAAAAGGGATTTTAATAAAACGTCATTTGAATTATTAGCATAAATATCATTTAAATTTGTCTTTGCATTGAATCAGAATTGGCAGATAATGTAGAACTCTTCATTAACCACGTGAATATCTCCTTCATGACGACCAAAAGAAAAGCGAATAGCGGCAGAAATGCGGCGATTAAAAGTGCCATTTGATATGAACCTCTAGTGTCATATATTTTGCCTGTAAAAAAAATAAAAGATTTATGAAAATGCCAAAAACAAAATAAGTTTAGCAAAAACTCTTGCTAAATTTAAAATGACTAATGCAAAAATATTTATTCAACAGAGCTTTAAAGTGTTCCCATTTTAAGTGCTCAAGTCGAACTGTTCAAGCATTTAGGTTTTTGAGAAACTTATATATATATAATTCACATTTAGTAGATATCCTAGTTAAGAAAAGGCAGTATTTACAATAAGATGTTAAACAAAGCAAGATAGTGTTATATCTAAAAATGTGTACGCTTATCATTTCTATGAATTCAGACTTTGATAATGATAATAATAAACGAAAAATTCATATATAATGTAGAAATACTGGACTATGTTACGGTATATAAATTGTTTAAACAATACACCATCAGTAAATTCGTAGTACAATGTGTGATCGACGAAATCAATTAACACAACAAATCGCCAAAATGATTTCCTTCTCAAATAGAATCTAACTTACCTTCTTGTAAATACTCACATCAGCTATTTAAAGTTATCATGGACATTTTCACTATGTTTCCGACCGCAGTTGATATCTCTGAGCCTGGTGTTATTGTCGCAACTGCTTATCGCAATATTTAAGTGGTGACTATATAAATACAAGCATAAATTGCATCATTTATTAATCCAATATTTGTTAGAGAGACAAGTGAATATTCGTTAGAAAGGAGAAGAAAGTAAAGGGCTAACTGATCAGAATCTCTCAAACAGCCAACATAAATAGCAGACAAGCAAAATGACCAAGATTATATTGAGTTCTAAATTGTCACTCGACTATCAAGCTTATCGTTTATTAAGATTCGAATAGATAACTTTATTCACACTTTTCAAAATAGTAAGGCGATAATAGCCAATACAAAACACTTAATTGAAGAAACCATTCAGTCCAGTTTTTATTGTTCTAATTGGGTATCTCTATGAGACTTTCAAAGATTAGGCAGAGATTTTTCTAATAACAAGTTGATGGATTGAAGAAAATTGAGAAATTATCGATTCAACTATACGACCTCTTACTCAAAGCGATTCTAACGGGACTAGTCAATTGACTTAACTGACAAACAGTTTATTGAAATGCTTAGATATTTTTAAGCCAACACACAAGTGACCCAGAAGTACAGTTCAAATTATGTTTTCAAATAAAAATCCGTATTCAATTTCTTTCGACAGACTTTCTAGAATTCTTCATGTTTTGAAGAAAGAAACGACAAAATTTGTAACCAGAAGATAAATTGATTAGTCATTACCGTACAGAACTTCAGTGTCACTATGAATAAAACGAAAATTGGTTCTTAAAAATGAAATCATTTGCATATGAACATTGATAATTTTGCAAACTCTGTACACACTTCAAAAGCCTACTAAAAATCTGAAATTAAAGGTGAACACTGAAAGTTAGAAAGTGTTTCAAGTAGAACTTACCTCCAATATTAGTTCCACACAAATTCATAAGACCATTAAAAGTTAAAAATAAGCCAAGTCCAGAAGACCATAATTTAGTACCAACAATATCAATGATTAACTGTGGAAACATGACGTACAATCCACCATTTGATACGCCAACAAAAAAACAAGCCAACGCTAATAGTTTTCCTTCTTGATGTGAGAATAATTCGAAGTGCTTTAACTCACTCTGAACAGACCATAATGGGACTAAAGCTATAGTTAGTGTACATGCACTATTTAAAAGAAGTGTTATCAGGAAGATTACTAAATGAAATTTATACTTTGACGATGAACATTTTTTATTGACGGATTGAAAACAATTTGGTTGACAACAAGAGCTACCATTTTCAACTTTGCAATCTTGATTGTTATTTTTACAACATGTACCTATGTCACCGAACTGAGAAGTTACCAAACCATAAAACAATTGACCTGATAGAATGTTAAAGAAAATAAGGAGTAAAAGTAATCAAAGAGTTACTTTAAAAATAGTAGACAGTAAGACAAACAACAAACGGGCTGTAAACAAATATCAAAAATGTGAAATTTTCGCTAAAGAAAAAGAGTTATAAATGTACTATTAATATAAGTTGAAAGACCTTCCTTCACGAAATAGTAAAAACACAGTTACAAAAAACTGATAAACTAGCACCAAGTTTTTATCCAACTTTCTGGTGTCGAATACAGTACAATACAATGACGAATTTTTCAATTTAGTATACACATTTTCCAATCAATCACCAGGCCATAATCAGTAGTGAATAACCAATTACATTATGTTCGTCATTACTAGTATTTTTAGTTTAGGCGGAAATCGGTTAGATCACTAAACAAACAGATTATACATACATCCAGATGTTTAACTACTTTTTGTTTAAAACCAACTGCACTAATAGTTTGCTAAATACTGTTTAATCTCCTGATAGGTAGTTTTATGTTATGCTTTTCTTTTAGGAAAATATCAATAGAAATGCTTTTGTTTATACAGAAACTAGCAATTAATCAACCAGTCAACCACTTTTCTGATAATAATACTGTGTTTGACATAAGAGAGGTGAGTTTTACATGATTATTTATTTTATATAATTTTAAAACACTTAAGTTCATATGCTACATGAGTCCAAAATTGATTTGATGACAGCAAATAGATCTAACGAAATAATATTTAACCGGTTAATTAAAATTTAGCAGTCTGTTCTACATCACACACCTTGAGACTTCTGAAACTATAAGCCATATTTATGTCTGGTTTAAAAACAAAGGTAATCCGTTTATTACCTGTTTTATGCAATATCCATATCCTATGCTCAATAACTGTTAGACGAATAAAGTTAAGTCGGCGGTTCTTAGTGAATAAATCGAAAATCGCTCGACAAAGTATGTCTGAGCTTGCATTTGACATAATGCAATGTTCAACTAAATCTCAGGGCAAAATGTTGAAAGCAGGATGAACACTTTTCAGCTGCATTGTATTTATCTTTTAGAATCCACATTAACCATGAGAATGTTTTCTTGTATAATTTATTCTCTGCCATAGAAGTAAAGAACTGTCATTTTATTTCTAAAAGTCAAGTCAATGATTGATAACCTATCAATCACATCAGCAGTTTTATGAAAACTCTACTCAATTAGCTCGTGTAACAATTCCCTAATTAGAATATAAAAAGTTAATTGCTTAAAACTGACCAAATAGCAATCCGAATCCAATTAAAGATGGAAGCCAAGAAATATCTTGATTGTTTATATCTCCAATTGAATTTTGAGCATTCAAATAAGACAGAGTAGTTAGAACATGATCGTAAATAAATGTCCATGGTATGACAACTCCAGCACCAGCTATACCATTAGCTATTACATAAAATAAAAAATTAGTATTTTTCCATAATTTCGGTGAAAATAACTTTTTAAAATTTGAAGTGAATTCTTGTAAAAATTGTGGGCATCCAAATGAAAATCTTATTGCATTTATTCTTTCTTTATTGACGATATCATAATCACTGTTTTCAGCATTGATCTTTATAATATTTGAATGAGGTAAAAGTAGATGATAATTTCGAAAGCGGAATAACGATGGAATACATAAACAAAGTGGAATTGAATTCAAAAAGTATTTAGTTATTGAGCAATCTAAAAAAAACAGAGAATAGAATTTATTGAGAAATAGACTTCTTCATAATAGTTTAAAAGCGAAATTCACTGTACGCTTATCATTTTTCAAACTCTTCTGACGTGTTTAAACAATGTTTTCATTTGTTTATAAAAAGAAATAGATAGTGAAGGACTAGATAAAACCTGACAAAATCGCACAACCTTCTAGAATGCTATGTTTTGATTCACTGTATGTGAAAATATTTATCAAAAAACAAAGTGCAAAATGTTATAGAACACGTCACGATAAACACAAATCGAAGTACAGATGAAAAATAAAAAGTGTGGAATAACATGGTATTTATAAATAAGACGAATATGAATCTATCCTACTATGATGAGTTAGAACCATCTAATCTCTAAACATTGACATTGGGGATATCATTGACCTTTATTTCTTAGCTTAATTAACCGGAGACTTATTATTATCTGACACTTATTAATTAGTATGGAACACGTTGAGCATTATTAACATACATTAGAAACATTATTATCCGTACATGTTCACAATCGTCATAGCTTGCTTATTTTTTTGTCTAATAAAATGCACTGAATTTAGACCTTGTTCACTCAATGTTACTATTTCAAGTGAGTGATACATAAAAATAAAAGCTAAAATTGCTAATGACATTACCACATGTGTTATTTTTATCAATCGTATGTTACAATTCTTGAGTAAAACACAGTGAAGTTTTAGGCATTTGATGTCTTCAGTAAATTCAAGTCAATCAAATAAATATAAGATAATGATAATATGAAAACGTTTATCAACTATTTTTTAAACAGAAAAGTTTACGTTTACGTACAGTTTATCAATATTTTATTTTGCAGCATAATGATTTTAATAAAGACAGTAATTTACCAAGTATATGTGCGTGCTTTCTTGTGAATCTTTTGTCTATAAATACATGTTACATCGTAAAAATAAATGGTACTGGTACTGAGTCTGTGACGTCTTAAGCAGGCTTTTACATCACTCGAGTATATAAAGAAAATCTGAGAAAACAGTTATTATTTATTTATTTGAACGCATAATTATTGGTACAAGAGAGAACCAGATACATATGCTCTACACAAAAATAATCAGAATGGGAAGAGATAAAGAATGTAAGATGCGTATAAGAAACAAAGAATAACGACCACAAATTAGTGTATGGTAGTGAAATAATAATAATAGGAGAAACAGAAAGATACGACCAGAAAGAATCCTTTCAGGTAATGAAGTTACGGCCACTTTTTATGAAGTAAAAGAAGGTTACAGCAGGATCGCCACTGTCTTCTATTCTGAGCCATATCTGATAACGTCTCTAGCCACTGTGTAGCACCATCACTCAGACCCCAACCAGGGAGTCGTGAGGGACCAACAGAAGCCAGCCCTTTGCAGCTTTGTTTCATACCACGACACCATGTCCTACACTGACCACCTCTCCGCTTTTTCCAACCAGTACCAGTGTCGGCAAATAATGCACGACATGGAGTTCTCTGGGACGACATTCGTAGAACATGTCCAAGCCACTGAAGTCGGTGTTTCAAGATGGTGACACTAATTGCATTATCGTCTCTGCGCCCAAACACACGATGCCGAACCTCTGCATTACTAACATGGTGTTACCATTAGATGTCAGCAATCCTTCGGAGACAACGATGATCAAACACAGAGTCGTCTAACATCCTCAAATCGAAGAGGCCAGGTTTCACAAGCATAGAGCAAAACTGCTCTCATCGACGCGTTGTAGATCCGACCTTTTACAGTCAGATTAACATCACGAAGGCGTCAAAGGTGGCCAAGATTGGTATAAGCCGCTCTGGCTTTCACTATACGTGCATTGGTCTCATCATTCACGCCACCACCAGCACTTATGCAGCTAATTAGATACACGAATTTCTCGACTACGTCTATCTGCTAACCATCCAGGGTGAGTACAGGATTAGAATCTTGCCAGTCTTGTAGAGGTACTTCGCACTTGGAAGGTGCGAAGCACATACTATACCTACGGACACTGATTAATTGCGGATTGCATGACTTGGGCATTATCGCACAGTAAGACAATACCATCCGCATACTCAAGGTCGAGAAGTCTTTTTCCAGGCAACAATTCCACACCGCCATTACCTACATCCATCAGAGCTGTTTCCAAAATGTCATCGATGGCAAAGTTGAAGAGGAATGGTGAGATTGGGCAACCCTGCCTAACCCCACTGCTCGAATGGAACAATGGAGAGAGGTGGTTGTATGCCCTCACTCTGCCTGAGGTGTTTTTATACAGGGCTTTTAGGATGTTAATAAACTTCTCAGGCACACCATTCTTCAATAGACAATCCCAGAGAACAGCCCTGTCCAACGAATCGAAGGCAGCTCTGATGTCAAGAAACACTACGATTGTTGGCCTTTGAAAAGTATGGCGGTGTTCTAACATTTGGTGGAGGGTGAAGATATGATCAATACATCCTCGACCACAACGAAAACCAGTCTGCTCCTCGCGAGTCAATCTTTCTCTGGTTTTGAACAACCTACGAAGTATGACGGAAGCCAATAGCTTGAACGCAGTCGGAAGTAGACTTATCCCCCATAATTGTTACAGAAACGACGTGAACCCTTTTTAGAGATAGGGACAACTATCGACTCATTCCATGACGTTGGTACACTCTCTAGTTCCCAGACCTTTATAAACAACGTCGTCAATTCCTTAGTCAGAAAGTCACCACCATCCTTAAAAAGAGCCGGAGGTAAGTCATCTGGACCAGGTGATTTGTAACGCTTCAAGAGTTGGAGTTCCTTGCGGACTTCCGCCTCATTAGGTGGATCAGTCGTTACCGGCCATGGAGGGCAGGGCAGTTTGGCCGATGTTGCCAGAGCAGCAGGCCAGTTGAACTGCCCTTCGAAAAATTCTGCCCATCGTCCAAGACGTCGATGAATGTTGGTGATTGGCATCCTGTCATCCTCGCAGATATTTTCGCTCACACCAGACTTCTTACTGCCAGTGGCTCTGATGAGTTGGAAGAACTCCCAGTGGTTACCAGATGCAGCTGCTGATTCCAACTCATTAGCACGCTCCGACCACCAGGCTTCTCGGTCCTTACGCAAGCTTTGCCCAATTTCCTTACGTAACATCCTTCGTTTATGGTCAAACTCACGGTCACCCGGAGTAGACCGACGGGCTTCGATGAGTTGTAAGGAGCCTGAAGAAACCCAATGCTTGTAAGCGGGATCTTTCGCGAAGCTGCAAGCGACTTTACTCGCCATTTTCACGGCGTCATGCAATGGCAACCAATGTTTATCTATACTTTTCTGTGGGATGATATTTATCCTTGAATCTAGCTCGGTTCGGTATATAGTTACAACAGAAGTTGCAATCAGTTTACTGACATCAATTCGTATAGGACGATAAATTCGTTGGCCGCTAGAAAGTAAAGTAAGATTGGCGCAAACAAGGGCATGATCAGAGTCCAGATAGGTACTCCAAAAGGAGTGGCGGTCTCGTACACGATCGCGGTGTGATCAATCTGAGTCCAGACTTGAGATGCAGTAGGAGGACGCCAGGTGGCACATCGGCGATCACTATGGTGGAAGTTAGCGCTAGCCAGAAACAGGTTGTGGTCTGTGCACAGTTGCAGTAGACGGTCCCCGTTATCTGTCCTGCGACCAACAAGTCCCCATTGGCCACCTAAATGACTCTCCTGTGCCTAGACGCCCGAGCTGAGCATTCAAGTCTCCAGCTAGTACTAAAATATCTGTCGAACGCACTTTCTGGAGAAGAACGGTTAACTGGTGGTAAAACTCATCCTTGATTGCATCCGGGCTGCAATCTGTCGGAGCATAGGCGGAGATGACGAAAAGACGTCGTTTCTCACATCGATTCCTACTCACTTTGATGAACCTTTCTATTTTAACAACACATAACCGACTTTTAGTGGAAACCCAGTCGATTAGTGCTGCCTCAGCCCTAGCGCTTAGTGCGACACCAATGCCAGCAAGACCAGACGAAGATGCCACAGGGTTTCCGGATAAACGCACATAAAATAAGCCTTTTGAAGTGACAGATAGAGAGCGAATTTGTACTACTTCACTAGAGTCTTGAATACGGGTCTCGGATGGAGAGCAAACGTCGATATCAAGACTTCCTAAAGACGTAGTCAGCCCTATCTGTTGTCCGATTTGCATTATTGTGCGAACGTTGAAGGAAGCCAGTTTGAATGGCGTACGTGTTTCCAGAAAGACTGTTTCAGTATTCGTATTCCGTGGAGGCATTCAACTTTCGACCAGGCAGTAACTCGTGATCGTTTAGATAGATGCTGCGGATTAAGGGGTAGCGAATTATTGATCGGACCAAAGACGCACAAACACGTAGAACGGCCTAGTGTTCTGATTGGTCCCGCTTCTCCGTCTAGCCTAGCCAGTTGAGTCCAGAGCACAAGTCACAGCCTCGGATACATGAATCATTATATTTCAAACATACTTTGCTTATATACCAGTCAAGCAGACCACAACGTACCATAAAATAGAAAATAACATTGTACAATAATGGCCAGTAGGAAAATGACACGTTAAATAAATATTGACCAATAAGATGATACCATTTCATGTCCAAGGATAGCATTAGGCTTAACAGGATAATTTTTGGGATATTTTCCTGAATATCCCAACACCTCCCTTTTTTGGCGATCGGGAGTTGATGTCCGGATTTCAAATTTTTCTCGCGTCTATCCTCCCCCTCGAAATAATGTTGGGTCCTCATACACCCAAGTAACAGTTAGTGTGACTCTAATCAGAAGCATATTTTCCTGAATATCCCAACAATAGAACAGAGTTTCCACCATGGGCGAGCTGCTGTATAAGTTGAAAAATGGTGATATATGAGGTGAGAATAAAAAGTGATAAGTGATGTAGCATATAAAAAAATAGTTATGATAATAAATATGAATGTTATCAAGTAAAAGTGAAATGCCTGAGTTCTGATCGAATAGCGCATAGTATTTTTTGAAATATTTATCATCTCATCAAATTTGTGTGAGAGCTGTGATACTGCCCGGGTGCTCAAATTGAAGCAGATGGTTTTCTTAGGGGGCCACATCCAGAGCCTTTGACCTAAAGGTCCGATCCACAAGACAGTGGAGCTTCGTTAGAAGATGTAGTCGCATGGTAGTCAATGACCAACGATTGGTTCATACGCAATTTGTTCCTGGAGCTCATGTGCACCATTGGTTTGGAATTGTGGTTTTCCAACTTCTCTATGTGCTCTCCATGTTCATCAACCTGGTTAAAGCGCCGAAGTTTCGCTTTTCATCCTCTCAATTTTGTAGACAACACACCCGCTACGAGAAGGCAGTGAGTAGGACTTCCCTAGCAGAGGCTATATGCACCTGGTCATGTAAGAGCATTCCGAGAGGGAAAGCGGACTCTCCCCACTCTCGGCCGTACCAGGGCATTTGAGGGCAATGAGAAAACAATAGAGGTGTAATCTACATTTCATGAACAAGCTACTCTTCTGTATACTCATTATTGAGAAAATGGAGGATTGATTAGGTGAGTTGTTGATGATGGTCGCAGCTTATAAATCAGTCACCCATATTTGAAACAAATTAGGCATCTTCAAACAGGTGAATGAAACATCTAGGAAGTAAAAAAACATAAATCCTGGCCATTTTGAAGGGGTAGCACAGTTTATCCAATTAAGATTATTAATAAATGCGAATCAAAATTTCAACCACGAATAAATTGCTAGATCTTGTGACCGCCGATTAGAGAGCAGTGACTTATCGATCGGATCAAAGACGCGTAAAACACGTGCGAGCAGTCTACAGTCTTGATTGGTTCTGCTTTCCGCCTAGCCCAGCCAGTTGAGTCCACAACACCAATATCAGCCTCTGCGATATGAATCATTTATTTCAAACATACGGGGTTTATATGCCAATCAAACAGACCGCATCGTACCATAAAATAGGAAACAACATTTGTACAAGATCTGGCCAAATGTGAACGTGGGAGGTAGTGAATTAATAGACAGGCCATAATTCAAGAATGGCAAATCGTAAAATAATAGTTCATAGGTCAAAGTAAAGCTTATAATACGAGGGACATGAATATGAGCAGTTTAGTTATTTAACAATTATACGATAAAAATATACGCATAGTATTGGTCCATAAATGAATCCCCAAAGTTACCATTCATTATGTTTATCGGGACCTAACATAAATTTAAACAGCTTCCGACACTAACTGGGAAATGGCTATAACTCTCATCTTGTAAAACCATCAACAGCTTCGTACCGAGTCGGTATACAGTTTACAAAAAGAAGTGTCAGAATGATTAGATAATTAAAGATTCTAAAAATGAAATTTTATATTTTGTTGGCTTCAGCCAGCAATTTAATTGTGTAGAAGGCATGTTAACGAAGATGTTTAAACTAAAATAAAATAGTAGTTTTAAAACCGTTTATTTCTCAGTATTTTTCATCTTTAACACTCTTTGATAAAGCTTATTGACAATAATATAATCAAACGTGTACAAAAATGTGAAATTATTTAAAAAACAAGATATACATACCACTGGCAAAATTTGCTTCAGAAGGATACTTGTTCTGATGGTTTGTATCTTCTATCTTAAAAACAGAAATTATATCTCAATAAAGTATTTTAAAAATTGTAAATGTTTTGAAAATTTCACATTATTACAGGTAAATTAAACTATATAACTTATAATATGTGAAAATTATATTTATAATAATATCAGTGATTGAAATTTAAATAATTCCAACGTTTCGTCCAGCTAACTTGTCTAGACTTCTTCAGGGTAATAAACGTAACTTATAGTTGTCTGCCAAAATATTTATAAAAAGACTAAAGTTACTGAACTGTAAGGATCGATAACTACTACTGCTTAAACAGTAAAAAAAGTGACCTAATACCAAGTTTTAATTACATTTTACTTACAATCATCTAATGAGAACGTTAAAAATAGTAGATTTTACTAAACTTATTCTAAAATAAATTTTTATAATCACACATAATCTTTTATATAAATTTAGTCTGATTGGTAAAAATCAGTACTGATCAATCGTGACTATTATTATTATTACTATGATAATTAATTCTTCACTTAACTGATAAATTTGCTGATAGTATAAAAACAACATAATGGAAGAAAACTGAAGAACAACACAGACAGCCATATAAATTGGTATTGAGAGAAATGAAAATGATTTACTATGTGACAGCTAAAATAATCAAATAATTCAACCATGTCATCTGACATATAATTGAAGGGTGGAATAAAAAAAAGTCACTTTGTAGTTGTAAATGTTATAATGGTTATACACTAGTTATGTGATAATCGATTGCTTTCGATTAGTATTAAGAGAATATTCACAAATTGACATAATATGTAAAATAAATCATTTCAATCCTAAGTTTGAGAAAGCCAGTTAGACATCATGAAATGGAATAATATAAAGAGATACATAAATCCAAAGTGTTGAATAGCTAGACTATTAGAATTTATAACCTTTTTCGTTATTGAAATATAAGATTTTGGGTTGGATGCATAATTCATCAATTTTGGTGGAGTTTTGTTCTATGAGCTGGGTGGTTTGGTCATGGAGCTTTCATCGTTCTTCTGAACGACATCATCAGCACAAACTTCGGATAGAAGTGAAGTGTTCGAAATTCTCCATATGTGTTTCACAGCTTGTTCTGTGCACCTCGATGTTGATTAGTTCTTATTGACCTTAAATTTGTCATTGTTTACTTCTTTGTTTTGGTTGCGTCTCCCATTGGTTTGACTTTTGCTGCTATATTTGTGCATGATTTTCCTTATTGGTTGGTAAATTGGATTGATTTCAATATGCTTGTTGATTGCTGATTGACTGCTACAATTGGACGTAGTGGAATGTTTGGTTAGTGTATTTCTGGTCTGCCGTAGAATCGTGGGAGTACTAACCCATTGGATTTCATTCTCCATTGGTCTTGTTTTGTTATTTCTTCTGCTTTGACTAGCTTGTTTAAAGTCTTTGAGATCTGGTTGTCTAATTTTTTGACGGGATTTGTATCCATCAGTTTGTATGTGCTCTTATCTTCAAGTAGTTCTTCGGCTTTTTTGACGTATTCTTTTTTGTCCATGACTACTGTGGCGCGTCCTTTGTCCACTGGTATTATGATAATATCCTTTCTATTTCTGAGTTCCTTCAAAGCCTTTTGTTCTTGTGGAGTCAGTTGGTTGTTTTCCTTCACCTGTTGAGTTAGCGGTACTATAGTTTGTCTTATTTCCTGTTGTGTTTCTTCACTGATTCCGGAAGTTTTGAGTGATGACTCTAGTGCTGCAAAGAATTCCAGCTTTGAGGCGTCGCTTGTATTGTAGTTTAGTCCTTTTTGGAGTAGGTGTTCTTCCGTATTTGTTAGTGGCTGTTTTGACACATTGATCACGCAGTTTTTTGTGTTTTCTTCCATGGGTGGTTTTGAGATCTTGATTAGTTTTTCCTTTAGGGTGTTTCTTCTTTGTTCTCTGTGTCGTTTGCATGATATCTCGATGTCTGTTGTCAAGATTTCCAAATGTTCTGACATGAGTGTCCTTTGTAGCTCCATCTTTTGGTCCTTTATGACGTGTTGGTATTTTCGGATCCTGTAGTGTGCATCCGTTATCATTAGGTGTACCATTTTTCTTCCACTTTGCTCAGCTATTTTCCATCCTAATGGGCAGTTGGAGTTATACATCTTACACTTGTTGGTAGAACACACTGGCGAAGACACTCATGGAGAAAATATAGTTGTTCTCGAGTGGAAGTCTGCCTTTTGGCGAAATTCTCCTATTTTCGAACAACAATAATCAGCAATCAACAAGCATATTGAAATCAATCCAATTTACCAACCAATAAGGAAAATCATGCACAAATATAGCAGCAAAAGTCAAACCAATGGGAGACGCAACCAAAACAAAGAAGTAAACAATGACAAATTTAAGGTCAATAAGAACTAATCAACATCGAGGTGCACAGAACAAGCTGTGAAACACATATGGAGAATTTCGAACACTTCACTTCTATCCGAAGTTTGTGCTGATGATGTCGTTCAGAAGAACGATGAAAGCTCCATGACCAAACCACCCAGCTCATAGAACAAAATTCCACCAAAATCATCCACCTGAACTACAAATCTTCTCCACCATCTCATAATTTATCAATACTGAAACTCTGACTTCAGTTCATATCAGTTAATTAATGTAAAGTTCAGTGCATTTATATATGATCTCTTTCAAAATATGAAACATGCACTAATAATGCAACAATGTCAGTTAACCCAGAGTGAAATACACAAACAAACACAATTTCACGTTTATTTACGAAACAAAGTATACATATTGTTTTCACAAAGGATAGCAACATAAAACAAGTTATATTGTCATAGATGATAACTTGTATGTCTGAATAAGTTACTTGTCTAAGGATGTTGAATGCTATCAGTTGATACACTACTTTTTTATTTGCATTCTGCTTATTTATTAACTTTAAAGAAACTGTATATGTAGTTATCCGGTCAAAAGCCACAATTCAAACTATCAGATTTAGATAGATATATCACACGATTATTAAAATAATTCTGTCTAATGACAATAAAATTTCTTTTTGCACCGACTAAGATGTATATTCTTCTTAAATCCCATGAAATAAATCGGTTGTTATATCTATTTCCTTTCGATCATTCTGTAAGATGTCATATGACAAAAAACAATTTTCATATCACGGTGTACAAACAACACTAATAATCTGTTTATTCACATTTGTATTCTAATAACTTTAAAGGCCGAAGTTATTAGTTTCAAATATACATTTACCTTAATAAACTTAAAAAAAGAAGCCCATTGATTTATTAAAGAGAATGAGGACATTTCGGAGAAAAAAATCCACTTTCGACGATATCATTTTCTTGTGCTGTACAAGGGCATTTATGGGTAATATAAAAAACTTATAAGTACGATTGTACAGCATTGAAAAATGATGTCGTCGAAAAGAAAATTTTCTCCGTTGAATTGTCCTCACTCTCTCTAATGAAACATTGAAAATTCAGAGTTCACTATTGATATTTTTGAAGAGATCACGGGACCACCTAAAATCGGCGACGGAACGAAGAATCGGCGACACAACTACAGACAAGCTAAACTATTCCTATGCGTCCCAACCCAGCTAATTAAAGGGCGAAGACTAGGTTCAGATGAGAGAAAGTTATATTTTACAAGCAGCTAGAAGCACGAACAAATAGGCAATCAACTCAAGCGCAGATATATAGTATAAAAATGTCCTTGTGGAACGTCACAAAATAGCGCATTAAAAGAGCAACGAACGAATGACACAACATACCTAGATGAAATATAAAAAATGTACACATTTAATTACATTTCTAAAACTAACACTCCATATAGCTTTATCCCAAATTTACTAGTATTGGACAATGCAAAAGATAATTAAAATGTAGTTTGATAATGTAGGAGCTTATTCAGTCAGTCGGCTACAACGTAGGACCAGGCATATATGTGCATCGGTCCAAGTTGCCATACCTCATTAGCACAACAAGATGTACACTGGATTCATAGAAGTAGTTAATTCAGTGGTGGTCATATATCAAAGAAAGATTGCATATGAGGACATAGTACAGGAAGAAGGAATTAGTTCACAGAAAGACAGATATGAAGTGATTTTAATTTCATAGTTTAAAGGAAGACAAGGAATGTATACACCGACGCCATTGTGATCGATTCTGAGCCATGTCATCCAGAGTCTCCAACCATTGGTTGTGATAGTCACGCGGACCCCAACCGAGTAGTCTGCATCTACCAACATGGCGGAGACCAGAAGTTAGTGACTTCAAGCACTAATGCCACGTTTTGGTTTGACCGCCGTTAACTTTCTTTCAACCATCCCCAACACCTGTTAGCATTGCTCGTCGTGGTAATCGGTGTTCAGGCATACGCAAGTGGGAAATACAATCTGAAGGTAAAAATGGGCACTTCTGGCGCAAAAACGAGAGATTCAAATTTCCAATACAAAATTACAAAAACATGACGGTTACCAAGTGATTTCTGGATATCTGGCATTCCCAACATCTATTAAGTCATTGGATCGTAACTAATGTCACCGCGTTAGGTTCGGATTGATGACAGAAATTTCCAAGTTAAATAATTAGTGTAATTTCATTGACGAACATGGATCGAGATCAAATTACACCACTGTTACTATTAAGCAGTTGAGGGCAGCCAATAACACTTATTGGATTTCCATTATAAGTAGGATACTTCACAAATAGTAAATGCATATATTCCTTTCGGTGTATGAACCATCGTGACCTAGTACAACTTCTTTTCTTGAGCAAAGATAATGTTTCCAAAAGTTTCACTAAAATGATATTATGGATGTCACATTAAAATCTACACACATTATAATCAGCAGACCTAAGCTTTAGTGACTTCAGGTGTAAATGCGTCTTATTATAAGTGATTGCGCTTAACAGTACTTTTAAGGTGATGACGGAGAATGATCTGAAACTATTGTCACAACTCGAATGATTGACACACAAAGTATGTTCATTTCAAGTTATTTGAAACGGCCGTTTCTACATACCCACACAAAATGGCTAATTTTATCAATTTACATAACAAACATTTCTAGCACCACGAAATTACCTTGGTGAAAGCATGTACATAGCTCAAAATACTTTACGACAGTGAGGAAACTATAATTGCAAGGAAAACCTTACCTTCATAAAATTCAAAATGATGTTATTATATTCAAGTAGATACATAGTAATGTACCTTCGTTCTTTTAGAATTTTATGCTAGATGTCCAACCAAAAGGCAACGAATTAGTTTGTCTAACCCAATAAACAAGCTTATTGTTGAAACTGTAATTCCTATATTTGGGTATCCATGATTGTTGATCATAAACTCATGCATAAAGCCTGGGAATATTCATAGTAAAGCTTTTTCTAGTAGTATTCCAATTATGCTGGATGAATTCTGTTAAACGTTATTTAATCACGAGAATAGTTATAAATATCCTTTCAAGAAATACTGTAGTGTTACTTTGATAAAAACTAATGTATGAAAATAAAATCCGAAATATGTTTAGGAAGTACAGTCCTGTTCATAATCAGTTGTTTTCCTATTGTATCATAGTTTAGTGTGATGGATAATTAATGCTTTTGGTTGATAAGTAAAAAATGTTATTTTTCTGTAAGTTCATCTAAAACAGTAATTGCAAATTTGCTGCATAACTTCTCATAATATATGTCTATTGCCAAATCAGCGCTTTAAATAGCTACAAAACGAAATTTAGAGGGATTTTAAGAAAAGTTCCACTTGGGACTATAAACGTACTTTAACTTTGCATGATTTGAACAATAAAATATTGTAACATTATATTTTAATCAAACAATGATAGCCTTTACGATGACTTACACCGTCAGGATAACTCAGCTCATGTTTCACTAATGTTATAGCGTTTAGTTCTGCATCTAAATGATGAGAACACGATGCTGTAACCAAAATGTTCAGAAGTATGGCGGATTCGATCAATAACACCTCACGCCAATTCCAAATACTTAGGAGCCAAGCAAGAAGGTAATTCGACCCAAATGCACCAACACCTGAACCACACATAGTGAGTCCTATGGCTAAACCAAAACTAAATGTAAAGATATTTTGGGAAATAATAATTTGTCGTGGAAAACCTCAGAAGCTGAAATAAAAAGTGCTTTACAAGGAAACGTCAGTAATAAAGATCTATATCCATAAACATAAATTTTTTTAGTGACAAATAACTATTGAAAATAACTTGAGTATCTGTTCAGGAAACTATTGTTTCGTTAGTTGTAGCTTTTTTCATGGATTTTAGGTCAACTTAATAATTATCTTACGCTAAGAAAATGATCATTTACTACGCCAGGTTAAGTTTATTCATTCAATTTACTAATACTAGTATTGAATCCAAACTACATATGGAAAAAGTGAACAAAACAGTATTCATATCTTAGATACCTGAATTCAGACTACTTCATAAATCTCTTAATGAAATTAACATGCAAATTCATCATGAATTTTTATTAATCTATCAAGAAAGTTTTAAGAAGAATAAAATAGATGAAGCTTCTGCAGTTGACTTCTATGTGAATATAATTAAAAACCGTTGTACATTCTCTAAACGTTTGTATTGAAATCTTAGTATGTATTAATGTAACACAAAAAGACGGCAAGTACTAATATGTTATGAAGAACCTCGAAAGTAATATCAATATGAATGAAATATATGCAGATACGATAAAGAGATGTTAAACTTGAGAATATAACAAAAAACAGAAAAGCCGAGACAAATCCGTTTGATTTCAAGTTACGCTTAAAATTTTATTTAAGTACAGTAATATGAAAGGATGTAAGATAGGACCAAATCATAAAAATTAAAATACATAAGGATCGGTTTATCACTAAAAGTGAATTCAAAGTTCAGAAAATTGCTAAACTTCATTTACTTTTTTACATTGGTGAAATCATTTATTTTCAATTCGTAGAGGTATTTTGCTTCTATTTATTATGTATTCAGCTCTCATTCTTTACAAGATTTATTAAGGCAAAAATAATAATTGTAATAGTAATGTATTATACGTAAAATACGATATTAATATTTCATTTCTAGAAGCCGATTTTCATGTGTTTCTCATTTTTCTCTTATAAACTATTCATACATATAACCTAAAGGTAATTAATTATATGAGAGGTTATTACCAGTTTTCATATTCCTTAGATTTTGGAAATCTAACTCTTTATTAATTTCAAATTTGATCAAAACATCTCGTTAAACATGACATCAAGTATGTACACTCGTTTTAACAATAAGTAATGCTGTTTTGAGGTTGTAAGAAACTGCAAATAGTCTACATAGTAAATAAATCAAGGTTATTCTATTATTATTGTTGTTCTTCTGATACAAACATTCATATTTTAGCTAAACCTCTAGGAAATGACAAACAATTCGATTTTTTGTGAAAACTGTTATATCCCTTGAGTTAAGTAAACTAATTAATGGAAAAGTTTTTTCGGAAAATGACATAAGAAAAAAAAGAAAGAGTCCATAGTAAGCTAAATTAGCTAAGCTCTAATATTTCTGGGCAACTTTCGCATTATCAAGTCAGGTAGATCTCTGCCATATAGTTATAGCTTTGAACCTCATTCTACATAAATTGGTTTAGATAACCAGTTAGGATTACTGTCCACCACACAAAAAAGATGGTATGAATCGGAATACATGAGTGAGTGGTTGGTTATTTAGTTCCGTTAAGTTTAAAAACTAAGTATAAGAACTATCTGTATCAACAAAGAAAGCATTTCTAAAATTCGTGAATACCTCATCTGTTTTTATAAGGTTTAGGAGTTATTTGCTAATTAAGAAGTATTCCTTCAAGCAGTGGACTGTCTAATAATACCATTATTTTATCAGATGACATGATAAAAGGAAATAGCACTGATATGCACTCTCGTTTTTCGTTATTTTTCAATAATAAATAAATATTTAATTTGTCAATTTGTAGTCCAATACAACCTGACATACATTTTTTGAGTTTTTTGATGAAAAGCTAGATAATTATTCAAGTGTCTAGTGAATAGGATTTTGAACATGTACAGGAGAGTACAGTTAGTCAAGTATATAAAACAAACACCAACATCATACGTATGCTAATAAATGATTTGTCAGAACTATCCTCGGTATTCCTTTCAATACACAAACGTATTTTTCCTTTTGAAAAAAAGAAAGAAAAAGATAACATGGAACGCCTATATTTTTAATCAGTGTCAGCTCCTACTTAAGAACGAATCAAAACTGAGTTATATGCTTGAATATTTCGTAGGATTTGTATTGCTTCTATAAATTTATTTTTCATGGACAGAAGAAGTTCAAAAACCATCGGAACCTAGTGACTACCAAACAGCTCTCTATTCATGGCCTAGGATTCGTCAGCTGTGAGGACTTATGATCGGACAAAAAATCAGTTTGAGCTAGGAACCATTCGGCAACTGAAATGAAACATTCGGAACCAGTCGGAACACTGACAAAGTGTTGGCCAATTCTTTTAGCTTATGTCGGTCTATAGTAAAAATTAACTTTTATGAGTCATAAATAATGTAGTATCTGAGACAAATGGGCGTCGCTTTAGGTCACCACACTTTACATCAGAACAGAGGTAAAACGTAGACCACATAAAAAGGTGATCGAACAGTAATAATAAGGAAGAACGCTGTCTTTAAGTATTGCATGCACTTTGCTTCTATATAAGTAGAGTGAGTTTGAACATTTACTTAGTCTTGGTTAAAATCTTTTGAAAATATTCAAGTTCATATTGTCTCTAATTACTTGTATTGGTAAAGATACTGCAGTTAGTCTACGTGTAATAAAGCCCAAAATCCTTTCTATCACCTGGGTTATCTGTGGTGGTGTGAAAACGTTAATCTGACCTTAAAATGTATAATGTAAAACACGTCGATGAGAGAAGTTCTGCTCTTTACACAAATCAAAATACATCTTTACTGTGAACGAAAGCTATCTTGCTTGTGATTTTGTTCAAAGTATTTTTTCATTGATTGACCTATTATATGAATTTTCAAGCGTACACTTCGTCATAATAATTTTCTGCTGACTTATTATACTTATCGTTTTGTATATCACAGGAAAATAAGTAACTGTTTGCAGTTAAAAAGTAACAAACCGGACAAAAAATGAAAATTACGAGACCACACTAATCTCAAGGAAACTATAATAAATATATATGAGTTCATTAGAAGCCTTGAAAGAAAAGAAGAATCAAAAAAGTAGATATATTCATTTTTTCAGCCACCTATTCAGAAGTACTTCTGGTTTTTGCGTCGACATCAACGTATGTAAGATTCTGGTATCAAGCCTTAGTTTCAAAATATTACCATTTACCAAGCAACTGCATACATTATCATAATTAAAGTGTATTAAAATTTTATCAGGATGTTGGAAATGAAATTACTTAAATTCACACTCGACACCTTCAAACTAGCATTCTGAATAATTTATTCTTGATCAGATCCAAGATTATCATTAAAATACAGATTTATTTTTGAATGCATTACATTTGTAACGAGTGTCAAACAAGCACTTTTAGCTAGGATTCTTTTTTCCCATTTACCAGTATTTAAGGCATAAAAAGTGAAGTACTGACACTCTCTGTGTTGTCATTCAAACAGAGGATTCGGCGAGACTAATTTATGGACGAGCTGATCAGAAGCGTCTTGGAGATTTTAAGGTTACGGCGCCAACTTCAGTGCTTAATGTTAACGTACGATCGGTTCACAGGGAATTTTGTACGAAGCGTGATAATTGAGAAGCTATAACAAATAAAACGGCTAGACTATAATTTGTGGACGAATCAATCGGCTATAAGATAATAGATCTCGGATTTCAACGCAAAAGTCTTTCACCCATTCGGTTAAATAAATTTCTGGCATTATAGCTTATGTCAGTTCGTGATGAAAACTCCATATATAATTTCTAACTAAGGCAAATTCTGACAGTTATTGCGAACTGGATAATAAAAGCACCAGTAATACTGGCTTCAGCCAGGTACTACAATATATACGGGTGTTTGGAGAGCGTACAGACTCCTGAATAGACTTGGTTATGTGCATCGTGTCGTTATCCACAAGTAGCATTTTGTGCACTTAACAACCGGAGTGCACATAAACAATATTGAAGCTATGTGGTCGAGGCTGAAAGAGTTTTTGAGACTTTATCATGGCTCCAGAGGCCGACTATTCTGTAGCCGTATGGATGATTTTAGAACCTCTTTCTAACCTTGATAAGTTTTTGAAACACGTATAAGAAGTGTATCCACCTTATTTCCTTGGTTTTGTATAACATATTTTTACTCTATACTGACTGTTTGCTGATTGGCTAATATTTATCAAGGTCACTTAAGATTCATTCAAAAGTCGTCCATAAATTAGAGTCTCGCCGAGGATTCTTTAAAGGGTTTATCCAACACAATCGTAATAATTCTACTTTTACACCACATATATGTATATTTATATGGTAAACCGTTAACTAATCATTTTACGCATTTTATCCCCAAGAATTAGTTTGCATGTAGATCAATGTGATTTGTTGTTGCTAATGAATCAAAAAACTGAAAACATCTAAAACTTTATTGCTCATGTGAAAACTAAGGTTAAAAATCCAACTCACTATGAACTGTTCTCGAATTGGGCAGTAACTGACATCAGTGCAGATAAATATGTCAACTGAAGTCCAATACTGGTCAATATGCCCAGAGTCAAGTATAAAATGTGAAAGCTGTTCGCAAATGAGGAAACTAAAATAGTATATTTAGTATAGAATTATAACCACATTCTCAACTTACCAAAGCATCCGACCCACATTAACAGTGCACCCCATGCAGAACCTGACGAAAACCCATAAGTGTCAAGTAGTGGACACAGAAAGGGTGCAAAAAATTGAGGCATTAAGAAAATCATTCCAGGTAGGGTGGCAGTTTCAACACTACTAAGATGGAAAGCACTCATGAGCTCCGAATATAATATACCCATAGAGTAAGTGTATCCATCAGCCAGCATATACGAAACAAATCCACCAAAAATTAATAATAACTTCTGAAAATCATTCATGTCAATATGATAACGTAAAGAGATCCAGTCACATAAAATCGATCAAATAAACTTTTGACATTCTGTTTATACACGTGTAGAATAATTGAAACTATTTAAATACACGTAATAGCAGTTTATCTGACACAAAACCTGAACCCTAAATTTTAGAAATGTAAATATCAATAAGTAATGTCAAACAAACCCCAATAATTACTTTTAAAAATATGGCTCAAAGTAGACAATTACCACACTTCAAGAGGTAGTTATATAAAAAAATACAAGTCAAACTAGTGATTGAAAAACACTGACAGTTCATAGTAGTGATGAAATATTAAAATGTTTATTCTATGAACTTGATGAAAAAAATGTAAACTACGTATTTTGTCATCCAACGAAAACAACCAATCTTCTTTTCTAAGCTTCAAAAATGTAAGACAGTAGAAAAGTTGTATTTAATTACCTTAAGCATAACAGAAAGTTGAGTATTTCGACAACATATCTGACTTATCTGACCATTCAAACAACGGGTTTTTATCACAACCCATCTGTTAGTAATTTAACGGTCGCCGCAAATTCTCTATCAAAAAACAAACCAGTATGTCATTTTAGGAAAATATGTAAGCCTCCTAAGCAAGGTTAGAATGACTGTGCAGACTAAAATGTTTATTTAAAATTAATCCAGAAACTCCAACTGTTACCACTCAAAAATTGCGGAATTTGGCCTGACGATTTTACCTCTCTTTGCTTATGGGCCATGGCACCATGAGCCAATATGCATACGTACCAGGCTCTACGTTGCCAATGGATAACTGACTATCAGTCTGAAAAGTTACAACGCCTGTATGCATTATACCGTCACGTTTTATCTCTAAGCGCGGATACCGATGACGGACTATTTACCATGTCAGTTTAGCATGCCTGGTAACGCATCAAAGTAAATCTAGTTTCCGACGTAGAAGGACAACAACTTGCAATTAGCTACCATTATTTAATGTCTACGCTGCATCTATATAAACATTTAAGAGTCTAGTAAGGTGACTTTTTCAATCAAATGCTAAACAACTCCTACAAACATCACGGAAATATTGCTTTCATATTAGTCTCATCTGTTTAACAAATCAATTAACTATTGGACAAAAATGAACCTCAATATGTGCAGTTTTTAACTTTACCCATGCCTATGGGTGATTTATTCATGAAAGCATTGTAAAGAGTGACACTTGGTTCGTCGTTTTTTAAAATAGCAAACTTATTTTAGAAAAAAACGGACAAACCAGTTCTAGTGATATACAAACACGAGCCTAATAATTTGAAACGCTCAAAATCGAATGACCCTGTAGATTGCGTTGACAAATAAATCCTCGAAAAAAACAGCTATATAGACGTCTAATGGTGGCATTGGTCGGTTTAGTTCTAGCAGATACTGACAACTAGAGGCGCCTTGCCAAGCATAACGACCATATACCAAAACAACCAGCGTGATATGCTTCTTTTGCTTTACACAATCTGGATATTAGTCTCAAATTCATCTACCTCCCCCTTAAACAAATGTGTAGCTTCTACCAATCTTTATAATCATTTAAATTTTTACTCTGAGTAGTATACATCAAAGAACTTTATATTATATTTAGCACACGACATTTTTCGTATTGATGACATGTAATCAATATATCGTATACGATAAAGTTCCAGCTCTAAGATGGAAAACACAGGTTCCATATATGTAACGCATCGTATCGATAACGCATATTTTACTATTATATCCAAAGTAGACTTATAGACTGTAATTTTTTGTTGCTGATAACTGACTGACAGTCTTAGAAAGCTTGTAATGGAATCTGTAAATCTCAACTAACACCATAAGAGTTACCCTCAATATATAATGACAACAGTCAAGTTGATAATTAATATAATTCAGAATTTCTACGGTAAAAATTAACTCATGTAGACAAATACAAAAACGCGATACCGTCTCCCGGCACTCAAAGATTTGCTAGTTCTAACGACCTTGATTAGTAGAGATATAAACAGATGGCTCAAACTCCCTAAAATCTATTTATTGACAGTAATACGACCTGCACGATGGAATGATACTAGACAAGAAAGTTTCTCAAAACTCGTTTTTATACATTCATTGACGCTGGAGACGTGAAGAATTTTATTCTTTTCGGCCGACCAATGTAATTTCAAAAAGAATATCCCAAAGGAATCCTGCAAAATGCTGTTTCGCGGAAGGATTATTATTGTTTAGTGTCTCTATAAAAGATGATAATTCATTTCTTAACGTTTGGGGGATCTCTATTCAACAATTGCTACAGTTTTGCCAAGGAGGACAAGAGTAATAAACCCCGGCTAATTATGAAGACTTTCTCTACGTCCAAGGTGGAGGCTTCTACTATGGAGGTATTTCGTGCTTAGGGATAACAGATATAGAATGGAATGAATGTGATGAAAACTCATTATCTTCACTTGAATGTAAAGTTAACACTTTCTATCCCTTTTACTTGCAACTTCCCTACAAATTCTGATTCGCAAGGATATAGAACCATTCACCTTGTCTCTATCTATAGACTTTTAAAATTTCTCTTGATGTGTAGTTTCTCAGTGTTCGACCTAATGTTTTAACTCAGTCGCTGTTATCGATGTCAGTAAGATTTAGTGAATGTATTCCTGGCTATTATTGCTTTATTTACTAGATTGAATATCCCTAACAGATAGAGTTAACACATTCCGTTAGTTATAAAAGTTTATTGCCATTGAGAACTTAGATCGTTCACTTCCTGAGAAAGTCAACGTTTGATTACTGACCTATGATGCAGATTGAACTGATCCTGATTTGTGAGTACCTGTTAGTTGTATAGAACTGGTTAAAAAATTTTCAGGTACTGTACATTTACATATTTATATTTATTTTTCATTTTCATTTGTACTGTTACAATCTAAGTTAAATGATTAGGAGTTAGTCGACAACCTTACATTAGGATTAAAACTTTACAGGTAAAATATATATTTACTTCCTTCTTTTGTCTGATCATTACATTTCCTGTTTTTCTGTGTTGAATAGTAAAAGGTCGATATGTTTAAATTAGGGCTTCATGCGTTTCAGCTATTTGTTGATAGATTCACTAAGATCACCTTTAAAAATTTTCTATATCTACTGAACGGGGATTATGTATAGGCCAAACAACACCACTTGTTTATCAAGTTATTTTCCTTCAGATGACAGGGCTCTGTAGGCGAATAAATATCAGGTCTGTGGCTGTACTGGAGAATAATCCAGGGCTGTTGATGTTTTGAACGTGACACAAGTGGTATAGTTCGCCTGTTTAAAAAGCCCGTGTATTCAAATTACTTTTATATCTGTGTAAACCCCATTCAAGTAAACAGGACAAGGACACACATGTATTTCGCAACGAATGAAACAAGTATTTACAATCAAAAGCCACATGTCCACCATACAAAACGGATGAGTTAAGTGAAATAGGCTATACAAATGATAATAATAATTCATTCTCAAATGACAGTTTGTTACATGAGGCATGCCAGTTTACAAGCAAAATCGAATTGTTAAAAATGATACAATTACTCAACTGGATATGAATGTACATGTTTTTAGTAAGGTTCGTATTGTCAATATAACGCGCTTTATGAAGTTCACGTTGCGATGTACGACTGATGGTCGAGAGTAGATCCATGTGAAGTTGGGGGTCTCTAGAAACCACAACCTTATGACCATACTTAAGGGGTCGAAGTGAAACATAATCGTAATTTTTAATCTTAATAATATACAAGTGTTTTCAACGCATAAGGGGTTGTTGATTGCGCAGCAATAGGGTCTGTTATTCAGGTGACACGGGGAACTTCTCCTTAACACGATAGTGAAGGTTCAACCTATAATACGTAGTAAGTCATAAGTAATTTTTATTGTCTAGAAATTATACACACATGCTTCATCCTACTTCTGGAACGACTTAATAACTCAGACAACATGTGATTATTCATTCTTTCTATTTCCACCATAACATGTTTTCATAGGAACTTGTGAATTCTAGCACGAACGAATGTTTTATTTTTGTGCCCTCGTATTTGTCCGCTCATGCGCTTTGTTCGTACTTGTGTATATGTCTATCGCCTGAAGCTTACTAGTTTGATGGATCGTTGATCTGATTTCAATTGAAGTTGTTTCCTGCTTATTAACTTGAGTCACGCCTTATCACAATTAATGTTGACTGGATGTTGGCACCATCACTATTGTCGTTTGAATGGAAAGGAAGTGAACGAATTATATGTAGCCGTGATGTAAAATTGCTTCTGTTGTAACCATGAAGTAATAATATTTGAAGCTATTTTTCGACATTTTAACTCTTATTTATATTTTTTGACTGCCTATCATGTGTTTGACTTTTTCTCATTAACATAATGGTAAGATCTTATTTATACCATAACTCTTTGATATAGCATTTTTCGCTTGTAAGCAGGAACGGACTCACTGTGTATCCACTACTCCGGTTTCCCATCATTAATGTTGTTTTTCTATGGTAATACTGCTGCCCAACTGATCTGCTTTATGATCTGGTCTTGCATGTATAAAATTGGATGTCTAAAATATAATGATAATCTTGAACTGCTGAATATTGGTCTCGCATTCTTTTTCTTCGTTCGAGTCTAGTTAATATTGGGCACAGAGTTGCAATCATCCACTTTCTTACTGAGCGTCGGCTGCCTAAGGTCGTCTCTGTGTATTGGTTGGTTGTGTGGCATAACAACTGCCTAGCCCAAAGACTCCGCCAGTGGCAAATGTACTTTACGGCCTATCATCTCACGTAGAGTCCTACTTTGTTTCATATGAATGGACAGAGCCTGAAACATGTCTCATTATGTTGTAGTTGACGACACCAGATAGCCCGGTAGTACCAATATCTAAACTAAAAAGAATATACTGTTCCACTGACCACACACGTTTAGTGTAGCATAGCCGGGGACCAATGAAAAAGCACTGGAAAGATCGTATGCGTGGG